AAATAGGTGGAAATAGAATTTTTAAAGAATTAATTTCAAACTACATTTTCAAAATATAAATAAAAACATATAATACAATACATTTATACAGGTAGCATTAAGATTTATAGCATTTTTCCTTTTCCCTGTGCAGCATGTACATGCATAATGCGATGTCTTTGTTTTTAAAAACATTCTCCTGTCCTTAGAGAATCCCTTCAACGATGGTTTTTCATGGCCATAGGAACCGGGGGAGCACGGGGCCCATGCCCCCCCCCCCCCCCCCCGATAATTTTGCCGATATATAGAATACTATAGAAAACTTCGCTACAATATGTTTGTGCCTACTCAATAATAATGTCTGATGACCTTTTTTGAAAAGGAATTTTTTGTAGTTGATAGTGCCTCCCAAATTAAAGTGTATGGTTGCCCCCCCCCCCCCTTCAAACTGAAATTGCTTCCTCTGGGCCTGTTTTTACGTCGACTGGTTTCTGTATGCCTTATAATTTCCATCCTAGCATATCTGATTTCAAACTTAAATCTGAACATTTAAGAAAGGAGATGACGAAAGTTCACAATACTTACATGTGTCTCAGGGAATCTTTTTAATCATTATTTTGGCTTCAAGCAAAACTCATAATTTGGATTTCAGTGATTTCTCCATGATTTATTCATTAAAATTTTTCATAAGTGAAGTCTTCAATCCTGCTTTCATTGCAGAAAGGTACTTGAAAAATGTCGGAGTTAAAAACTTTAAAATGTTGGAAATAAAAGATGAAAATTTAAAAAAATTCCGGAAATGAAATGCAGCCATTGAAACTATGCCCATAATATCGTGCACATGTCTTGGATTTAATCCACAATACACACTAATGTGTGTGTACAAGTTACATGAAAAACATTATTTATGGAATACATCCTTATTTTGGTAACAGATCAGAGATAGATGTAAGGAGATGGGTGAACAAGGCGTGCAGAATGCCTATAGCTTCAGATATGTAAAAAATCAAATTCAATTTGTGAAATTAGTATTAGTAAATTTCTTTTTATTGAAATTCCTGAAATTATGATAAAACTTTTCCGAGGAAAATTTTCCCGGCAAAAAATTATTCTGTTATTAAAAATTAAAGGGGTATTCATGGGGATCGAACCCCCTAGCAATAAAAATCCTGAGTATCATTTTCCTTTGATACCAACGCGCTAACCACTACGCTATACAACTCCTGATAAATGGTGGCATTTAAATCATGTTTGTGATATGACCCTTGACTAAATGGACTTAAGAAGGCTGGGGGGTTGTGGCCATTTTCAGACTATATTGATCTCCTTTAGAAGAAGAGCTCCATATGAAGATATACAAAAATGATCAAATTTTAAAACTAAAATTTTTGAAATTTTTCTTTGCCAAATGAAAGTTGACAGCTTAAGATATCATACCTAAAAAATTAAGTTATATCTGATGGTTAATTTGTTGACCCCCCAGCCTCCTTAAAGTATTTCTCAGAGGATGCGAATGTTGTGTCATAAAAGTGTATTTTTAAGGTATAGTGGGTCTTTGCTCCATGTCTTTGTTTACTAAAAAATGTATATATTTATGCAAACTTTGACGGTAACCTTTCAATAAAATGGAGCGATGACCCACTCATATAAAAAAAAATGTTATAGTATGAGAAAAATGATCGTTTTGCCATCTTTAGTGTGTGTGTATGCTATTTCATAGGCAAATAATTTCAATCTTCGTGAGATTTTTGCAAATTGTGGAAATTTTACATAAAGTATACTTTAATGTTAGATGAAATATCAAAGAAAATTTTGCTGTAATTGAGATTTAATTTTTCACCTTTATGTTTGTTACACTATAGGCACTTTGCTTGCCTTGTTCGCCGATCTTCTTTGTATCAGTAATTTGAGGAATCTTGATCAATTTATTTTAGAGAGCTTGAATAAGTTACACTTCTGAGAGCTCTAAATAAATTTACACAGAGGGCTAAAATGGTATATGCACTGGTCGAAGTAGGAGTAAAAAAAGAGATTTGTTGTTACATTCATTCTTAATAAAATTAATTCTTCTTAACTTTTCAAGTGTTGTTATTTAAGGTGTATAAAGCTATAAAATACTTTGAAAAGACCTGCTTTAGTTGTCTGTATTGCAGAATTTGTTTTACATTCCATTCGACATCATTCGTACCTACTTTGAACTGGAATGTTTTTTCGGTGAAATATGAATTTTTATGTTTAGTTGCTAAGGGGGTTGCATGTTGCCATGGCTTAATTATTAGGAGATTACATGTTGCCATGACAACAACTGATAGAATATTTTATATTCTTTCCGCTCTCTCAACATATACAATCATCAACACATTAATTGAATATTCATTTCCATCACAAACAATATGATCCCAAAGTCAAATCTGTCTTACAGGAGGCATAGGGTACATTGGTTGCCATGTACTGGTAATAGTTGCCATGGGTTGATTAAGTACCAAAAAAACTTTAATAAGACCAACATTTCATTGTCAATTTTGCTCAACGACATTTTTCTGACTTAATTTGAATAAATATTAATAAGATTACATGAATACATGTCAAAATTAACTTTCTTTGCCCCGTTGCTATGGAGAACATGTTGTTGCTATGGAGATAAATAATTATACAATATTCAATAATTTGCTAGGAAGTCCAAATTTAATTCTACTATTTTAAAATTTGTTTTTCGTTTTTGTAGATAACAATTCATTTGATTTTTCCGTAAACTTTTTACATTGTTTCTCATTTTATGTATCAAAATGCCCATATTTGTTGCTAGGCAACAAATTCAATTTTCAAAAAGGCCCGTGGATTTGACTTCAAATTCTAAAAGAGAAATTCATCTGCTTTTATGTGAAATACACGCAACAGCTGTATTAATCTGGCCTTTTTTTAAATTTGGCCTTGAATATTGCCAAAATCACGAAAAATGCTGAATCAGCAAAAATTGCAAAACATGTGTACCTTCCAATGGCTAGCACAGAACTAACTTAAGACCTAAATTTCTTTTATTGCATTATTAAAACACTTAATATTCGTATCTTTATTACACCAGTAAGTGAAAAATATTCTCATGGTATTAAAATTTTATTTTAAGCCTTAAAGATAGGTGAATTTTTGTCCATCAACACAGAAAAATTTGCTGGTTGCTAAGGAAATTTCTTTGGCCGGGTTTCCATGGTAACCATGACTCAAAGCATTTTTCATTTTACATACATTGTTCATAGTTCAAAACAAATCTATGTGTGGAAAATCATCAAATTCTGAGAACCCTCATATATCACCCTTTGTCTGATTTTTATGTGGACTGGTACTTAAGTAAATAAACGGGTCTTTATCACATTCGCACCAAACTTTACTCTGTCCTGATCCATGATCGGGAGGTCGTGAGTTCGAATCTCGGCCGCGACAGACGATAAAAAAAAAATTGGCAGCAACTGTTCCTTCGCCATGCGCTCGGCGCTTTGAAGTGAAAGTTGTGGGTCCTTCGGATGAGACCTTAAAAACCGAATCCCCTTGTCACGGCAGGCGTTGGCACGATAAAGATCCCTCCCTACTTAATCGACCTGAGTACCGAGTAAAGGTCAAAATTTGAAGCCCTTCACCGGTATATGGTGACGTCTCTATATGAGTGAAAAATTCTCGAATTGGACGTAAAACAACATACAATCAATAAATCATTACTCTCTCCTTTTGAAAGTTTTAAATGGTCTTTTTGACAGGACCAAGGAGAATCCATATTTGGATTCATCGACACCAAAATATGGATACGCAAACCTCAGACTTTTTAAACCGCCGAGTTTTATCAGAGGGAATACTGCACAAGTAACCGGTAGGCTCCTTAAACTTAAATTTACCAACAAAGAATTGCACGCAGTATATATTACTAATATTCTTAATTACAAAAGGGCCGAGTCCTGTGTACCAGAATATTTCAAATTGAAATATGACTTGAAATATTTCTACCATTGCTTCGAAATTTAATAACAAAAAGCCTCAACACTGCTTAGATATGGATCATCTGAAACATAATCCTCCAACGTGTTCGACCGTCACGATAGCTCAGTCGGTAGAGCGGTCTCTGCGTGATCGGAAGGTCGTGTGTTCGAATCACGGCAGCGGCTGACCTAAGTCGATAAAAAATAGATAGCAACTGATCCCTTGTCAAGCACTCGGCACTTTGAAGTGAAAAGTGTGGATCTTTCGGATGAGACCTTAAAAACCGAGGCCCGTGTCACGGTAGGCGTTGGCACGATAAGAACCCTGATTGTCGAGTAAAGGTCTAAATTTGAAGTGTTTCATCGGTATCAGGTGGCGTCTCTATAAGAGTGAAAGATTTACGTACGGGAAGTAAGACAACATATACTCAATCAATCAATCAATCCAACATGTTCATGTTCTTCACCAACAAATTGATGAAACAAAGATATCATCAGTCTCGTTTTAAGTCATCATTTCGCAAGTTTTATGGTCGATACAAAGACCTTATCAGCAAATACAACCTATCATTAAGTCAAATACTGACTGACGTTTTCATACTAATTGTTAGTCTATTATTTACACACTGAGCTGTCTACGGATTTTTCCGTTTTTCCCAATCCTGACAAGGAGCACATGGTGGGTTTGACTGGTTGAAAGGGGATGATTGTTCCTCCATGTCACCTCATTCCACCTCTAATCCTTTTAAAGGTCCGTATTTCCTCTGCTCAAAATTTGTATAGTTCTTAGGGACTTTTGAGCTTGATTTCTGTTCTTTATTTTCATATTGTACTTTTACAGAATTTATCACTGATCTTTCCCATCATTTTTCCATGTTGAAACAGTGCCTAAGTTGAAACTTTGGCATGTTTTTGCTCATGACATTAAGTATTATCTGAAGGTTGAAGAGGTCAAAGTAACCGAGATAGGACTTATTTTTTAATTAAGGTTTAAATTATGTCCGACTATGAAACCATTTTAATATGTTATTTCAACCTTATTTTTCTGTTGTTTAGCGACAACGAGGATACCAGCTGCCACGTCTACCAAAGGAAACATCATATATACAGTGAATTCCACTGACGAAGATTCCAGTCAACTGTACTACAACATGACATGTGTTCCTGCTTCCTGTCCCTTCACAATACACAACTGTATGCTCTACTCCTTTGTAATGATTTGATGTGCTCAATATGTACATGTCTATGTTAAGTAGGTGAAATATCCATTTTTTTCAGACGGTGAAGTTATCGTGACCTCTGACCTCTCTTCCCATACCGTGGCCGGATATGACCTGTATATTTACGTCACAGATGGTAACACCTTGGTGGGACCTCGTACCCTTACCGTAATCATTGAAGGTATACATTGAAAATCATACACAATTGTGCGTAAGTGATCGTGTAAATCATTACAAATTAAAAGCATACCATACTCAAGTACATGTAGGTATGGGCATATTTAGTACGGAGATACTTCTTCTTTGCTTACAAGGAATAAATTCAGTGCCAACGATCACCAACCTCCCTCTGTTGACGCCGATCACTGTACAAGAGAACGTTGCCCTATCAACCCCGGTCTTCCAGGTCTCCTTCACCGATGTAGACGCTGGACAAAATCATACTTATCACCTCTACTGCAATCCGAGCCTTGGTTCAACTCTTTTTTCAATTAATTCTACAAGTAAGCAAATGTATCTTTTTTTGGAAAAAAAACAAAACATAACATATGTTAACATTGATACTTTGTAGATCTTGATATGAGTACACATTACAGAATGGTAACCCACATTTTAATTCACGAAAACCGGACAACATCCTTTGAAATTAATTACAGATGGACTGATCACCACCTCTTCTACTCAGACAATCAACTACGAGTCTGTGTCCACCACGTCCACCAGCTTTCAGATGACCGTCACAGTGTCTGATGGATACGATACCGCTACGTCATCCTTTACCGTCGCCATTGCAGATCAGAACGAGGCCCCAGTGTTCGGGAAGGATGTGTATTTCATATCCGGCACTGAAGGCATGGTATGGAATATGTATCCTTTCTATGAAAGTGGAATTATAAATAAGTGGTTTTATTTTGTTTTTTCCAGAGAACAGAGAAACTTAATTTTTACCCTCTTTTGCAATACGCTTTAAAGTGTAACATCGTCTGATAAAACATTTATTTTCAAATTCATTTGACAAATACAAGTATTTTTTTTCCATTTGCATGTACAAAAAATGTCATGTGTGTAGCACGATAATAATAATCTGTAAATATTCAATAAGGCAGGGGCTGTTGTTAGTAACCCATCCTTTGACGTCACAGATCCTGATTCGGGAGACACACAGACATACTCAATTGATTGTCCTTCCTTTAATATTAACCCAGGCACTGGGGTCGTCACATTAAGGTAGGAACTGTAAAGAAGTTTTAAATTTAGAAGCCTTTACAAGTCTTTACTCTGAAGTTGACATTAAAAGGATGCTGGAGTTCCTCATTGACAACATTTTTGTAGCCTTTGGAGACCAGGTCTCCCAACAAGCTGTTGGAATTTCGATGGTCACTAATTGTGCTCTTTAATTTGCCGACCTGTTTGCATATTCCAATGAGAGAGAAAATATTTAAAAACTTATATATGATAAAACACTTGCTGTGGCCTTCAACTCGACATTTATATATATATCGGCGATGTATTATCAATTAACAAAATTTACTTTTCTTCTTATGTCGATTCGATATATCCTAAAGAAATTGAAATAGAAGACACCACAAAGTCTGTCACATCTGTGTCATGTTTGGAAGGTTTACTGACTATAGACGATAGGGGCCAACTAACAACTAAATTGTAGACTTCAACTTTTCCATAGGCAGCTTTCCTTATTTATTTAATAAAATCCCGCTATTGCCTGCATATAGTATTTACATTTCCCAACTTATTCGATACTCAAGAGCATATGCTCCAAGTACGATCAATTTTTAAACCGAGGCTGGCTACTGACAAATAAGTTGCTATTACATGGATTTCAACAACCTCGTTTAAAGTAAGCATTTCGTAAAGAACGAGTGCACTTATGGGCCCCGGTAAAATGTGAAAAAAATGAAGAATCAAATTAAGTATAATTTTTCATCTCAGATCATTAATTGACATCTAAACCATGAGATTCAACAAATTTTATCGCTGAAATTCATGAATATACAAAGATCAAAGCTATAAAATGTGGTAGGGGTCAGCCGACATTCGTGATTTTCTATAGTAAATCGAGGACGGTCATTCATTTCAAAGCTTTTGTTTACTGTCAGCCTAACGTTGTACAAACTTGTGCGAACGACAAAAAACACATTATACATTTTTAAAACTTGTATGAAAGTAGGAAATTTGTACAAGATTAGGCGTGTGCTTAAAATACTAAAAATGTATGAAAAGTTCAATGTTTTTCCTATAGCAAGCGAGAACTATTTACCTGTATGACCTATGTTGAACTCACCCGTGGAATAAATCATTTAAAACACCGGTAGTCACGTGAGTTCTACCCAGGTAAACATTCCTCAAAGGTGCTCACTGTAAAAGGTAGCCACAGCCACGTTTTGTATCATTATATCGAAGTCGTGCCACATAGAGAAGTTTGTATGTATTTGGTTTTAGGAACACGGGAGGGTTAGAGGAGTTTAGTGTCGTCAAAATGTCATTATGCATAAAAGCGTCAAACATTTTTTTGAAATTCATGCAAGACAATGGTACCGGTATTTAAAGCCACCTAAATACACTTTTTTTCATTTTAAAATTTAAAGGAAATAATGTTAGTACTTATTGTATTTTATTTATTTATTTCAAATGCAAGCGTGCAAATTTCTTAGTTTGATCACTATGGCTACAGGCATCTATACAACTTCATTCATTTTTTTCTCAGGTAAAATAGCGGAAGAAATATTATTCGGAAAACGCGCCCGTCAATGATCCACCATCAGATTGTTGAAGTGTCCGATTTAAATGTCACCTCCCCTTGATTTAAATAAACGAAACTCAAAATAGGTTCGGTACGACTTTTCCGGATTTGGGGTATCTATAGGCATATAGAAATCTTCATTTGTTTCAAATCCATGCTGATTTAGGTGATGTTTTAACATGATTTTAATTAGAAATATCCACTTGTGTATAACCATTACCAAAAAAGAACAATTTGATAATATATTCTAAAGTAAAACGGCACTGAAAAAGGGTCCATTAAGCATTGCTTAAGTGCACTTGTCCTTTATGGTCGTTATTATTACCTTGTTAGCAAATATAACCTATCATTGGGTCGTATTTTGGCCGACCTGTTTCATACCAATTGTTAGGCCTTTATTTTTATACTAAATTTGACTATGTCTACCTGATCACTATATAGGGCTCATGGCGGTTGTGACCGGTCAACAATGGATGCTTACTCCTCCTAGGCACCTGATCCCATTTCTGGAATTTTCAGGGGTCCGTGCTTTATGTCTCTTCACAGAATTGTATTGTTTAAAGATTTTTTTTAAGTTTATCATTGTTCGTCATCTTCACCTTTTTCATTGGTTTAAAACATGAAGTGTGTTTTTATTGTGATCAAAGGGTAAATGACGTTGCTATTACATAACACGTAGAAACCCATCATAAATATGTTCCTACAACTATGACAACTCCCATGAACAATGAAAACACATTTCGTCGTTTATTTTCATCATATTCACTGTTTTGATTCAGATTTCCTTTTCTTTTTTAACAATATGAAATTTGGGGCTATATTGCGTAGGTTTGGCAAGCTCACTAATATATAGCAGCCATGTGACTTTTCTAAATTGAGGTACGTTCTGCAAACTTGAAACTGTGAAATTTCGACAAATGAGTACAAAAATGTGTAAACATTTTTAAAAATTCAACATCTGTAAAAACGAAAAAAAAAACTCTTAAAGGGGCCTGGACACAGTTGCATTGTTTACAGTTTTAAATGTCTATTTTTATTCAAATAATAACTGCAGTTTAATGATTTGAACTTGCATGAATATTCTATAAGAATTCAATGACAACGACATTCCTCAAAAGATCACGTCAAACACGTGTCTATAAACAGGGCACGAGCTCTGTTAGTGTTTACGTTTTACCGTGTATGTTCAATTTGTTTAGTCTGTACACATCACTGAGCAGGAACTGACACTACTGGTGAGTTAGTTTTGCTGTCTTGCGTTTCTACTCTGAACTTTCTGAGTTATTATTTTCATTTTTCAATTAATTAATACACTATAAAATTTTTACTTTTCTAGGTATCATGGATAAAGTTTACTTTGTGAAAGTGCAAGGATATGTGTCAATCAAACGCGTCCCGAAATTCATAGTTTTAATGATTTCCAGAATAAAGAAGTTTCTAAACACGCTTTTAATATATTTCGGTGTGAAATGCAACATATAAGCTATAATATTGAAACTTTTAGAAAACATGAGCTTCAAATCTGTGTCCCAGCCCCTTTAAGAATAACACTTTTATGAATAAGTTGTGTAAATTTTTACCTTCATCTTTGATGTACAGACATTACAACTCGCTGCTTTCTTTTCATACACAAAATTAAACAACTGTCAGGAAATAAAAAAAAAAAATAAATGTAAATGTATTTAATGAAAACCTTAATGGTAATATTATGAAAGCCCTGGATTTTTTTTTAATAAAGAATGCAAAATATTCATCTGATAATCATAAAAAAGTTTATTATCATTCTATTCGAACAGGAAATAACTGTTCATCTTAATTAGAAAGCCTAATCAAACGCACATAACATTAAGATATGTGAATCTACAATATTTACATCCCCGATTTTTATTCGAGTGAAATATTTCAGCCATGACTACGATCTAGACGTCGCTGGGACTGCCACGTCAGTCACGTGCACAGTTACAGTGACCGACGGTGACCTGAAAGACACAGCCTCATTGGTCATCACACTTAATGACGTCAACGATCACACCCCTGTCATGGGTAGTCCTACCTATACATTTTATGCTTCGCCTAACACCGGTGTAGGTACCGTGATTGGCGTGATAACAGCCAGTGATGGAGATCTGGGATCTTTTGGTAGGTAAAGTAAATAATCAGAGTGTTGTTACAGTTAAATATATTCTGAAGCTGTTCAAACCATCATTATTACGCAAGAAAATCTGAAACTGTAATGGTTGACAATTTTCTCTCAGAAATGTTGTATAATGAAACAGTTACCTTAATGTATAAAGTATTTTATTTTCAATTCACAATTCCTAACCTTTAAAGGTATTCGTTAATTTGGCAATGGATATATTTTCATCTTAAAGAAATATTCTCTTATCCTGGAACTCTCCCTATTTTTTTTATTGTTAAAATTAATATATTTTAGTTTTACATTTCAATTTTAACATTTTTGTAAAGGAAACATTTCCTATTCCTTGGATCAAATCTCCCTCGGGAATGAATACTTTGGAGTGAAGACTAATGGGGACATTTACGTAAAGAACAGTTTGCTTGGCTTCTCCACCGGAATAACTCTGAGTTTGACAGCCACGGCACGAGACAAGGGTGGATTGCAGGGTTCGTCATTACAGATACACAAATAGGCCTACCTCTGTTTAAGATTTGTGATCTAAGCCATTACGTAAAAAGTAAAAGGCATTAGAGTTAAATAAACTGCCACATAACTCAATTTTTTAAATTATTTTATAAATTTCCTTCTTTTTTTCCAATCTATGATACATGTATTTTGGAATATTATATAGATTATTTTAAAAAAATATTTAGCAAGTAAATTTATTAACATAAAATTTCTAATAAAATTGATTGGTCAAAATATTAGAGAACTCTAAGCTGTCATATATTTTTTTACGTTTGAGAATGTCTGCGTTGTATATTGCAGACACAGCCACCATAACAGTCATTATCCCAGAATCCACCACCGCTGCCCCGGTAACCACTACTGATCGTCACCTAACGTTCTGGGAAGACACGGGCAACATTGCCTGGGTGACTGTCGCTTCCGTGTTGCTTTGTGGCTTCATTACATATTGCTCCTATCTTCTCGCCAGATATGGAAACTTCCCATGTGTGAAACACACATATAAACGCCATGAAAGGTAATTATAACATTTACAACTGTGTAATTTTTTTGTTTGATATTATGTTAAATAGTCAAAGATGACGCTTCTTCACGTTGACATACAAATAAAACAAAAAGTACAAGCAGATGCTATATAGTTATTATATATTCACTATTTCACAGCTCTTTCTTTAGCTCGACTGGTAAAAGACCGAAAGAGCTTATGCGATAGTAAGGTGTCTGTTGATCCTCTGTCTATCTTTTTTTCTCTTAGTCGTCTGTCCGTTAGTCTGTAGATAATTTTTCAAAATGCTACTCCTCCTAATTTTTGTTCCAATTTCAATATAATTAGCACATTTGTAGACTACACTAAGATACATAATTCTTTTTATCGCTTTTTAATTTCGATGAACGGTGCATGTTGCCTTGGTCACTATAAAAAAGTAAAATTCTTTTAAATCGCTACTCCTCCTACAGTTTTGGTCTGATTTCAATATAACTTGGCACACAAATAAACAACACTAAGATAATTACATGTAATTCTATGTATTGATTTTTGATTTTGATGAATGGTATTGCCATGGTTATTAAAAAGAGAATTTCTGTGAAATTCATTCAAAATGCTACTATTCCTACAGTTTTGGTTTGATTTCAGTATTATTTGTCACATAAGTGGACTACACTAAGATACATAATTCTTTATATCGGATTTTGATTTCAAGACCAGACCAAGGATCGTTATTATTATTTATTGCTTTTGCATAGTTTCAAGTTCTAGCGCTACTTTTCCCTTCCTTTGTTAAGAGTACAAACCAATAGAGCTACAGTCTCGTTAGAGACTTCTGGTCTATCTTATAAAAGCTTCATATCTCTTTCAGCAAAGTGAACACAACTAAATGGTCTCAACATGAATACAACAAGAAGAGAAACCCTGCAAACAAAAGTGAGACTGATATCAGAATTCAAGAAATTCCAGGGTGTTTCTATAAATAACGCACCTGAGCCAGTGGCTTCTCTGTAATAAGAGGAAACAATTCTAGCTACATGCAGTTTGTTTTTGCAGAAAACCTTTTATGTACAGATGAAATAAGACCCCAATAAAATTTCATTTATTAAGACAAACAAATGACCAAAACTAAATTTACATATTATGTAATCCTACATAACAATTAAATTGGTGGGCTGAAAAGAAAAGGATAGTAATGCTAAAATTGACTAGTTAAAGTGTAAAAACATCCTTAGTAGTCACATGACTAATCACATGACAAAAGTTATAAATATTTACAAACAATAATAATAGCAAAAGGGCGCTGCACAAAAAGGTCATCTAGAACAAGGAAACCTGATAACTTCAGCAGCATGTGAGTTGCTGCGCAAATAAATATTTATGTAAGCCAATAACAAAGTTTATAAGTTTTTTGAAAAGTTTATTAAACAACCGTGATCGTATAGATTTTTAAATGCTTGTTTCTGAAATTTCACCAGAATAGACCAATACTCTAGTTGTAGCAAAAGTTTTAAAGATCCGTCCCAAAGATTCCCCAAGAGCGTAGAACTAAAACTCCAAAAGTAATAATTAAGGTGAGGTGCAAATAAATTAGAGTCCAAAAAGTATTCCAAACGAGGCAAAGAATAGAGTCATAGAATAGAATCGAATTAGAATGCCGTTTTCCGGCAAAACAGGGTATTTTGTGCTCAGAGGGTATTCATGGTCCCGGATATAAAAGTACTTTTCATTGGCTGACTTAACATTACCATACCACCTACGCTTAGTCCGTAGGTCTGTCCGTTGACCTATGAACCCCAACATGGCACCACCCTCAAATGCAAGTAAACACTCATTACTAATATTTATGGGCTCAGTCCTCATCTCTACACCCCAGGAGTTCTAGCCCTAAGCTCTTTTACTTATTTACTTCAAAGTTCCCAATTTTATTGCTCTTGGTCTAAAATCTTAATAATACCATTGCATTTCCGTTCAAATTTTATTATTTAGTATCGATGGGCTTGATTGGTCTATTCTGATCAATTCCATTACAAAATGATTTACAAAATTATAGTTCATTGTACCAACAACAAAATCCAATCTGTTCTAACAAGATAATTATAGCTCATGAACATAAAGTCCCTTTTCCAATTATAAAGTCACTGTATGTGGTACACTAATAATGTACATCCTTGTTTAATACACTTTTATTTTATTTTACTTTCAGTACTAATAACTAAAAATGATATTGATACTGTCTAAGTTTAAAATGTTCAAACAATATGTCTGTGCTAAACCCTATAGGTTTACATTTATCAAGCTTGTAGGGTTTTTCTGGGGGATCTTCTTTTTGAATGACGAGTATATCTTTTTTTAATGCAAAATAAATATTCTTTAAGTTTTACTTGCTGAAATTGTTCAAATTGTTTGCCTCTAGGCTAAATTGGGGCCCATTTTTGTGGGGTCTAAGAGCTTTATTTGTCAAAAATTTTATTCTTATAGGCATTCTGATCAATGGATCTTTGAAAACTTTTAATTGCCAAGTTTATAAAAGTTTGCATTTCCAGACGTAATCCAGTGTCTAAATTTCTTTATAAAATTTCAATTTGTTCTGGAATTAAATTCTCACATTAATACACTCACTTTGTTCACGTTTTGGAAGCACCATTTATATAACTGAGATATTTTCGGTTTCAGAGACGTTAATTTCAGAAAGATATGACTTGAAGCCATGGGAGAGGAGTAATCCATCTTACAAGTAAGATTTTAAGATCTGAATTCAGAATATTGCTCTATTGCTACTTCTTTCATGAAAAATTTCCACAAGTTGTACTTCTTTCGAACCTTTTGCAAATTACAGGAAAATTTGTCATAAAGTATGCTTGGCTATCTTGTCGATTTCTTGTATTAAATTGAAGGATAATCTCCCTTTTAAAGGACATAACAAAAGTTCAAATACAGACAGGGTCGTTTGAAAATCTGATAAAGAACCAATGAGCCCAGAGTAGGAAACCTAGGGTTGGTATTTTTCGTCAATCCGAGACCGACCCTGGGTTTCCAACGACGATGCACTGAGCCAGAGATGACAACGTCAAAAGATGACTCTTCACCAAATTTGTAAAACTGGAGCCTCTTAGGTTTAGCGTTCAGGTCCAATGGTGGTGCAAAATTGGATGTACATTACACTTTGAAAATCTTTTTTTATGTTAATTGTTTGCATAATTAACATTAAACCCTCTTGTGAAGGAATGTAAGAGCTTTTTATCCCATCTGAGCCGAAGACTCAAGTGAGCTTTTCTAATCAAAAAGTGCCCGGCGTCCGTCTGTCGTCTGTAAACTTTTCACATTTTCGACTTCTTCTCAAGAACCACTGGGCCGGTTTTAACCAAACTAGCCACAAAGCATCATTGGGTGCATGGGATTTAAGTTTGTTCACAGAAAGTGTCACGCCCTCTTTCAAGGGGAGATGATTAAGATATTGTGAAAATTTGGTGGCATCTTTTAAAAATCTTGTCAAGAACCACTAGGCAAGAAAAGATGAAAATTATATGAAAGCTTCAATACAAACTCTAGATTTAAGTATGTTCATATTATAACCCCCGGGGGTAGGGCAGGGCCGCAAGAAGTCATATAATAATTGAAGTATCCTCAGGTAGTGTAGATTTAAGTTTGTTCCATGGAATCATGACCCTGGCGGTAGGGCAGGGCCATAACAGGGGTCATGGTTTAACATAGGAAGATATAGGAAATATCTTTAAAAATATTGTTCTTAAGAGCAGCTAATCCATTATTATTCATATTTTAATATATGAGTATCCTCAGGTAGTGTAGTTTTATGTTTGTTCAAATCATGATCCCTCGGGGTAGGGCGGACCACAACAGTGGGCCAAAGTTTTACATAGGAATATGTAGGTGTAATGGTTAAAGCGACACCGTGACGCACAAACGGGAAAATTGACAAACATAGAATTTTTGCATGACTCGTGCAAATTTTGTTCAATTCCTGAAAGTATTAGGTTTCAGAAAATTACAAGTTTCGGAACCTAAAAAATCCACTTTTATGGAGAAAAAATTTTGTGTATGGCCAAAGACAAAAATATTACTTTATTTCTTTCTCCTTGTTGTACGCGTACCTAGAAAAGTTAAAGAAGTTGCAATGGTCTCAAGTACCAAAACAGAATGTCGGTAGACCAAGAATTTTGATACAGTCTTCAAAAAAGATAATTAGAACATATTTCTCACCTTTGCATGTTCCAGTCGAATGTTGTTTACAAGTTTACCAGTTAAAACTAAAAGTGACCTGACCTTGACATGCACGATAATAACGAAACGGTACATACAACCTTCGTTTTTCTGGCACTTATATTCCTCCTGAAAACTTTTCAATACTGAACTGATTTCTGCTTCTTCCTAGCCAGTGTGCTCTGGTGAGGGATGTGGCCCATGGGCCTCTTGTTTAAGGTTGACAGGGTAAAGAACTGATGTGAATATTCCCTCACTTAGTTTGAATTCAAGATTGTTTACTCCATTGCAATTTGGACTAAATATGAATATTTTAGGATAAGAAATCCCCTTCCCACCCACCCTGACTAAAAATCATCAAAAATCTATAGATATACAGCTCAATACAGATACAAAGATTTCTTATCTAAATATAAACCGCAGATTTTCAGATAATAAATAACAAACCTCCATTAGTAATTGCTTTAGTAACGTGTATATTTGAACTATTGTACCCGTGATTATAATTATTATTTTTCTTTTCTTGCTACAGGTATGACAGTTCACGAACTCTACATGTGTAAATAAATATCAATTGGAGAATAACCCGAGTTTCAGAATGATGCAAGATAACACACGATCATGAACGTGCAACATATTCAGAATCTAATTAGAAAGTGTGCCCTATTTTTTCAATGATCTCCAGAATTATACTTTCTTAAAGGTTAAATTCTTCATGTTAATGGAAGATTATTTGCATTTTATGTAAAATATTTACAAATTCGAGATAAAGAAAGTTTTTCTCTCATGTAGATTTTTCCCGTTTGCGGGGGAGTAGATTAAATCTTGTGTATTTGTGGCTACCTCTAGTTTATCTTGAATTTGAAGTTAGGAAATCTATCATGAGATGGAATATGTCAGTATTGTTCATTATCTATTTTTTCAGATTCTTTTCTCATAATCCTGCAAGTCTTTCTTGTAAAAGTATTGGAGAGAGTTTATTTCATTTTTTTTCGGTTAAAACATGTCTTCATATTACTAAAAGCAATATGTAGCTGTGATACACCGGATATGCAATTAACTATGACTGTTTATATGTTTTATTTTATTAGGTATATAGTCAATTTAGTATCGACGATATGTTTATCTCATAAACAACGACTTAAATAAAAATTTTATACATCATCTTTGGATGTTTGGTTTGTTGGTTGTCTCTTGTTTTACGTCCCATTCGTAGAATTTTTTACTTGTATAGAGTCGGCACTCAGGGCCATTGAGCAGTGAGGGTTCTTTATCGTGCCAACGCCTACCGTGACACGGGACCTCGGTTTTAACGTCCCAGTCACTGCCTATTTTTACGCTTTAGGTTTCACGCGGCGCGGCAAACGAGAATCGAACTCCGACCTCCCGATCACGAAGCGAGCGCCATACCACTGTTGGATGTTTGGAATTGATTTTATTAAGAATCTTAGTAAAAGAATAAAGAATAAGTTCTGGGAAGATATATTTTGCATTTGGTATAAGATATATCGGACTTAAATTATAGATGGTTTTACCCCTCTTCACAAACATATATGGTATAATCCAAATGTTACTCTTGGTGACCAGTCAATTTTCATAAAAGTTTTTTATAAAAAATCGGGCATTGTTTTTCTTAATAATTTACTGGATTTAAATGGGACCTTTTAAAGTTCTGATTACATTCAAAATAAATCAAGGTGAACATAAATATGCAGGACTGAGGATAGCAATAAGAAAGAGACTAGCCTGTTTTAAGGATAAAAAAAAATAATGCCACTTTCTATACCATTCATTCCGGACAGTCTTGGGATATTTCTTTAAGATAAAAACGAAATTGATAATACACTTGTAACATCAACTTATTGAACAGAATCATGCCTTAGTTTAAAATTGTTCGTATACAAAGCATGAAAATATTTAAAACTGACATATGATTTTGAAGAATCTTCCGAAAGGGAACTTAAGTTTTAGTTGAATGACCTCCTGTAGAATTAAATCCAAGTTCCCCTACTGTACAACTGTAATAATGAGCCTTACAAATAAAGATTATGTTGTTGCAAACCTTGATCTTGCTGGAACCAGCAAAAAGTGAAACAATGTATTCTATCTAATTCTTTGATCACTTCTGAATTACGGAAGTGAAATATTGAGATGTCATCATTTTGCAAGTTTTATGGTCGATCAGTCATGTCATATGGTCTAAGCAAATACAACCTATCATTAAGTCAAATGCCGTTTTTCATACTAATTGTTATGCCATTATTTACACACTGAATTGTCTACGGATTTTTCCGTTTTCCCGATCATGACATGGAGCACACAGCGGTTGTGACCGGTCGGCAGGGGATGCTCACTCTTCCATGGCACCTGATCCCACCTCTGATGTTTTGGAGGTCCGTGTTTGCTTTGCTCCCGATTTGTATTGTTTAAATGGACTTTGAGCATAAATACTGTTCGTTATCTCCATATTTTATGCATCTTTTTTTTCGAAATACCTCCCCAGTATGTGTTCTTTTTATCCACACTTTAGAATGCAAAAACATTACTTAGTAACAAATGAAACCTAGCCTTCAAAATGCAAAACCTTTGTGAAAAATATTCAAATTCACATGACAATGACATCCTTGTCCAATAAATGAATCAAAAATCTATTGAATTTACAAATAGTATTATACGAAAAATATTGGTTTCTGCAAATAAAATTTACATATGTTTGTATCTTTCAAAAGTTAGAACAACTGATAATATGCAATGCATAGAATTGACCATAAGTTTCAAACTTCGTTATTACAATCCACATATAATGCAATTGACTCAATTTTATGTTTATATGTGTTGCATTTTAGATTTAGTCGAGGTAAGTCCATATCTGGATTCCTCGAAACCAGGATAAAGACTGTGGTTATGGATATTGCAAATCATAGGCTTTTAAAACCGCCACTTTTTACTGAAGAAAATAGAACTATCATATCTTTTTTCCTTAAACTTCAATATGCCAATAATGGAATTGACGCAGTTAATATAAGTAATATTCTTAATCACAAAAGGGTCCAGTCTTGTATTCCACCATATTTCCAACTGAAGACTACTACCTGTTTTTCCTGTAAATATACATCGACTAATGCTATGAAACTTATTAATTACAAGAAAACTTTACAGAGCCTGGATATTAAGCATCTGAAACATAATCCTCCATTGTGTTCATGTTCTTCACGCTACAACTATAGTCCTGCTGGACACGTTATTACTGGTGATGTAAATATACTATAGTAGTTAATAATGAGGAACTTGAGTCACTTATTTTAAAAGGGCCAAACTTTAGGGAACCCCGATCTTTCAACTAGAAATATAAATATTATGAATTCTGTGGAAGATAATGCCATGCGATGGGCCAGACATGAAAGAGAATATTTTGGCACTGTGTCGGAATGGATTAAATGTATCAGAGGTATGTTAAAATCTCGCACTAAGCGATAGATGGGCAAAATGAAAACCATCTGTCTTTTTATGTTCAATAATTTAAATTTGAAAAAAGAATTAGACTACACGATCAGTTTGTACTGGTCCCAGCTGACAAAGCATGTAACAACATTGTCTTTCTTTGTAAGACTCATTATTTCAATTGTATTTTAGAAGAACTGGGATTTAATTCTGGGATTCAATCCAACTTATATCCATAGCTCCCTTTCTAAGGAGGAAATTTTTCAAAATCACATATCAGTTTGATTATTTTTAATATTCCCAACAATCAAAATGAATTTGAATTTCCATATTTATATTCATAAAATTCCTTACAAACAAAGATGCATAGCGGGTTCCAGTAAATGTTCTACCAAGCCTCTTTCTTTACTCCTCACTAAAATATTAACAGCAGTGAAGGAGAAAATTCAGGAGTACTGTTTAACAATATATTCGAGAAGTGGTGTAAATCAGATGTGGATACTTAAAAATTCCAAGGAACGTTTGGAAAAATTGAAATCACAAAAGCAATAACATAAAAAACTTACGACTTTTCAACTCCATATACAACCATTCTCCACGATAAATTAAAGTCCAGGTTTTTGACATCATTGACAGCTGCCTTTTCACTAAAAATGGAACTCGTAAATTAACTTACCTTGTCATTTGCAAAATTATTTTGTTAAAAAGCTTTCTGATTGTACACAAAAGTACTCTAAGTTGATATGAAAAAGATTCTTGAGTTTCTGATTGACAATATCTATGTGCTATTTGGAGACCAGGTCTTCCAACAATCTGTTGAATTTCCATGGGTACCAACCAATTGCGCCCCTTTGTTAGCAGATCTAATTTTGTATTCATATGAAGCAGAATTTATTCAAAATTTTATACATGAGAAAAAGAAATCCCTTGCAGTGCGCCCCGCTGTTAGCAGATCTATTTTTGTATTCATATGAAGCAGAATTTATTCAAAATTTTATACATGAGAAAAAGAAATCCCTTGCAGTGGCCTTCAACTCGACATATAGATATATCGACGACGTATTATCAATTAATAATAGTTTTTCCATTTATATGTCGACACGATATATCCTTGTGAGCTTGAAATACCACTGAGTCTGACGCATCTGTTGTATATATGGATATTTTACTAGAAAAAGACGTTAATGGTAATCTAACAGCAAAGCTTTATTCTAAACGTGAGGACTTTTCAATCATCAACTTCCCTTACTTATGCAGCAATATACCTTTATCACCTGCATATGAGGTGTATATCTCTCTGTTGATTCGATACGCAAGAATATGCTCTATGTATGAACAATTTCTTAAACGAGGTAAGTTACTGAAAAACAAGTTGATGAAACAAGAATATCAACAGTCTCGTTTAATATCATCATTTCATAAGTTCTATGCTCGATACAATGACCTTGTCAGCAAATAGAATCTATCATTAATTCATATGCTGACTGAAGTTTTTCATACTAATTTTTATGCCATTATTTACACACTGAATTGTCTATGAATTTTTCTGTTTTTCCGATCATGACAAGGAGCACACGGCGGATGTGACCGGTCGGCAGGGGACGCTCACTCCTCCATGGCACCTGATCCCACCTCTGATGTTTTTGGAGGTCCGTGTTTGCTTTGCTCCCGATTTGTATTTTTTTAATGGACTTTGAGCTTGAATACTGTTCGTTATCTCCATATTTCATTTTACTATTGTTATAATTTGTTTTATTTTTAGGACAGGTACGATTTGGTTATAATGATGAAACAAGAATGAACAATCTAGACAAGATGTTCCGAATGGATACAGATATAGGTCGGATACTTTTTGAAGTTACAGAAAAGCAGATTGAGCAAATAATTACTAATACCCAGTACCCTTTGCTTACCTAGGAAAGAATTCATCTTGGTGAAAACGGAAATTGGAATGCTGTTTTTTTTATTCAATTTACGTTGTATTTTATTTTCTAATTGACTTTGTACTCGAGTATTATCGAACATACTAACATTTCTACAAAATCCTTACTGAAAGGATCTACTGTTTTTATCTGGATTTTTACTCTACAGCATTATGATCCCAAAACTCCTGGATGTAAACAACTTTAAAAATGCATCTTGAGAAGTTCTTTCAATCTGACAC